TCGCGCTACTATCCACCGGAACACTTTACTTTGTTACTCTGCATCTTTCTACATCGGTCGATGTTTGCCCATATGAGGAAGTGGTCGGTCGAACCTATATCTATCGCGCTCACGTGCAGCTCTGGGATCAGTGTACTCCCACTATCCACCAGGATGTAGTGGAGGACCGAGTATTCATTGCAAACTGCCCTTTGCCTGGTGAACTCCGGCTCGCGCTACTATCCACCGGAACACTTTACTTTGTTACTCTGCATCTTTCTACATCGGTCGATGTTTGCCCATATGAGGAAGTGGTCGGTCGAACCTATATCTATCGCGCTCACGTGCAGCTCTGGGATCAGTGTACTCCCACTATCCACCAGGATGTAGTGGAGGACCGAGTATTCATTGCAAACTGCCCTTTGCCTGGTGAACTCCGGCTTATCGCATTCCCTCCTACCGTTCAACACCATCAGTTCGTTGCTTCCCAAGAATTCAAGCATCCTCACTCCGTTGTCATTCACTTTGTCTTCTCCGTGCTGCCCGATCGCCTGTCCTCTACTGGAAGCTTTCATTAGTCTGGAGTTGAAATCGCCCACCATGACAACTTCTCCCTTCCTACTGAATCTCTGGGCATTTTCCCCAATTTGTCGAAAGTTCTCCTGCTCCTTGCTTGCGACTTTCCTCGACGACGGTGGGACTTGCACGTTCCCTAGAAACAAATTCTCACCCCGCTCCCCAGGTATCTTAAGCCATAGGCTTTCCTCGAACTCCGTTTTCACCACTACCTCCACCACGTCAAACAAGTGTTCCTTGACCAGGATTCCGACTCCGCCCTCCCTCCGTTTCCTCGGGTCTAAGCCCTTTCTTGCCTTCCCTACCCACCTGTGTTTTCCTAGTTTACTTACATACGTCTCTTGGATCCCCACTACATCTAGATCGCTTTGTTCTACGAGGTCCACTATTTCCAACCGCTTTGCGAACCCGCACACGTTCCACGATTCGACTCCCCAGCGTGCGCTTTTCCCTGTTGGGAGATTTTGCGCACTCTATCGTTCGCATTCCGCTTCTTCTCGGCGTCCTTCTGACTTTCCTGCTCGCCTCCCCCGCCGGGTCCCTTCTTCGCCTTCATCGACCTCGCCTCTTGTCTCCTTACCTTCTCCGTTTCTATCATGTTCGCGATGCACACCCTCCATCCAAACTTCCTTACGTAGTTCGACAGCTTCTCGATGTCAACCCCCAAGCACTCTTGACTGTCTCCCTTGGTCAATGTCACCCAGAAGTGTTCATGCTCTCTGCCTACTTGTCCCCTTGCTAGGCAGTGCAGTCCCTCCCTGTCACAGCAGTTCTTCAACTCTATCCTCGTCATGCCCCTACGAATCCCAAACAGCAGCAGCTCCAACTTGTCTCCCTTCCACAGTTTCTGCTTGCATCCTCCCGGCTTCTTCACAATCCCCATGATCTTCACGGCAACTGGACCGTGGCCACTTGTTTCTCGTGTTTTTTCAGGAAGGTATACGGAATACTCGGCCTTCCCAATCCGAGTGTCCGGCGGGGGTTATGGTTCTTTCAATTCTTTTGCCGGCTCACGGGCGCTATCTAGCGCCTCCAACGTATGGTCGTAGTCTAGATCCACGTTCACACCTCCTGGCACAAGTACCCCAGTCTTGTGCTGGGCGCTCTGCTTAGTAACACCCAGACGTCCCCCGACCACCCAATTTTTCATTTCCGAAGTCCCGCGGTACAAGCTACTTTCCTCCTGGGAGGTCAGTTTCACCACAATAGGTTCAGGGACGACTTGCATAGCCTAAGATCCTACTCACACGCCGGGATGGAGCGTACACCAACGTCCAGCTTCTCATGTACGCTCCACCATCGGTTGCTACCCCACTTTCGCTCCCGAGAAGACCTATCTGCCGAAAGTTTGGCCAACAATTCCTTACTGCTTTGTACTCGCCTCTCTCCATCGAAAACAAAGCATTGTGTGTGCCGCACATCTAGCTCCGGAGTATTTGCGCGGTTGGTTAGGACGTTCATTTTGCTCGTCGTGAGTAATAAACTTTGCTTTGATGACTCCATATTTATTGATCCACTTCAAGCAACGAATATCTTCCCCACCTCCACTGTCCGACCCATTTTGGATTTCACGCCGGAGGGTTTTGGGGTGTGTTATTATAGCTCTTAAGTCCTCCGCCGCCCATTGGGGGTCTTTCGTATGTTTTTAATGCCGTACCAATAGGCGTTAACCTTAGGTAAGGTTGTGCTTACTTTGGACTGTACCCTCCTCATCCTCTGGGGGAGGTAGAGGGGGGGGGGTGCGCATGGCCTCTATTTTTCAGGGGGGGTTCGGGCACGGGTTGAAGATCTCACTATAGCTACTGTTGATTTTCAGTATACAGCTATCCTCACTCAACGCGTTTATGAGTCCGGCAATCTCCCAATACGAATCAATCTATGAGGTTTCAGTATGCAGCTGTCCTCACTCAATGCGTCTATGTGTCCGGCAATCGCAAAAGTCACTCAACCCGTGAGGTTTCAGTATGTAGCTATCCTCATTCAATGTGTCCATGTATCCGGGACTCGCAAGTATCACTCAACCCGTGAGGTTTCAGAATGTAGCTATCCTCACTCAACGCGATCATGTGTGTTGACAATCTCAAGAACCAATCCATCTGTGAGGTGTCAGGATGCAGCTATCCTCACTCAACGCGATCATGTGTCTGACAATCTCAATAACCAATCCATCTGTGAGGTTTCAGTATGCAGCTATCCTCACTCAGCACGTCTATGTGTCCGGCAATCTGATACATGACTCAATTCGTGGGGTGTCCGTTAACGGCTGTCCTCACTCGACTCGTCCATGAGTCACGCGTTTTTGGTAGCTCACACTATGGAGGCTATGTTTGGGGTGGCGTGTTGTACATTGCTTTGCCAACAGCGCCAACCCACCTTTGTCTGTGTTAGGGGTAATGGCAAACACTGGGGCGGTGGGGGGTCAAAGTCGTCAGTCCCGCTATACCTTCCGTCACATAGCTAATCCGTGCCTAAACCTTAACGCACAGTGGTTGCACGACTCACAGCTGGTATCATTGAAGCCGTTGGGCACCCCAATTGGACGCGTGCAGAGAAATGCTCACCCGCGGCGGCTCTGTAGTTCAAAGGCCGGTGGAACAGATAAGCCATATCTGCTCTACCAGGCCAAACTCTTTTATCTACAGGACGTTGTTAACCCTACGAAGCCATGTGTTCGCACGACTCACAGTGATCATACAAGTCATCGGGCACCAGTTGAACTAGCGCGTGCAGAGAAACACCATCCCACTCAGCCTCAGCTTGAGTGACTCAAAAGGCCGGTGGAGCAGATGAGCTCCATCAAGCCAAACTCTAGGTCGAGGGCGTCGTTCGTCCTACGAAGACTTTCATTGTTATTGCACGGCTCACACCTACCGTGCAAGTCATCGGGCACCCCTAGGGGCGTAGACAAACACCAACCCACAGGGGCTCGGTGGCTCCGAGGCCGGTGAATCAGATGGGCCATATCTGCTATACCAGGCCAAGCCCGATCGACAGGACTGTCTTACAGACCGCACACCGCGTATAGTTGATGCGATTACCAATCGTTGTGAGGATTTGACCACAACTACTGCTTGTTTAGTACTTTCCTGGCTTGCCAAATGGCCGTGGCTCGTAGGAGACCAGCGGTGTTGCTTCGGGGGTGACATGTACATGTTGCGTGTGACGGAAGCGTTTTTTCCGTCTTGCGTGTATAGTTGCAGATGGCAATGCTAAGACACCGGTGTCGTACATGATGTTTGCGACACCGCACAATATGCTTCGAAACCACATCCTCTAAGTCCCTTACGGCTCTCAACTTTTGCGCAAGCCCTCGTTCGTCCCGTAGTGGCCGGTGTTTGCCGAGATGTGACCCAAAATGATGTCACCGCACCATCTCGATGGTGTAATCAAAACAAATAGGTTATCTACGACACCGTAAACACCTTTCCGAAAACACCCCCCAAATACGCATGAAACCAATTGAGCTGTTCTCAGGGCTCTCAGCTGTCGCACAAGCCTGGTCGAAACTAACATGTGGTTCCTCAGATTCGCCCTTTGATGTGCCCAACGTGGCCACAGGACCTCAGTGGTGTCGTAAGTAAGACCATGCTTACGACACCGCTCAAAACGTTCCGAGAACACCTCCGATGGGCAGGAAACCAATTTTGCTGTGTTTCCACGGCCACCAGCTGTCGCACAAGCCGTCATTCGGCCGAAACCAACATGTGGTTCCCGAGATACGCCCAACAATGTGGCCGCAGCACCACCTCGGCGGTGTCGTGAGTGAGCCCATACTTACGACTCGCACAAAACGTTCCGAGAACACATCCAGCCCAAAACCAGTATTGCTGTGTTCCCACGGCCACCAGCTGTCGCGGAAGGCCTCATTCGGCCGAAACCATCTGCGGTTGCCGCTTGTATGCGGACCTACATGTACATGTTGCCTTTATTCAGACGGCCGAACGAGAGCGCAGGGTGGATCGGTTACCCTATCCACAGGGAAGACCATCTTGGTCGCTGCATATAAACCAATGGGAAACCTGGCCACGTTAGGCGGCATTTTCGTCAGCGCTGTGGCCGCGCGTAGCCCCCAGAGGTCAAAAGGCGTTCGTCGTGGAATAGCCCCAACTACCCGTAAGCGAAAGCGTCGGTGGCGGAAAGAGTGGAGGGCGCAAGCGAGGGCACTCCTTGTTTCATGCACCATAAAGGTGGCTTCCTTGCGAGGGAACCGATATGCATCTGAAACTTCGCTGTGTTTTCAGTAGCACGACACGGACGTCGAATTGGGAGTGAAAGTTGTGCCTAAATAATTCTGTGACAGGTCGAACGAAAATGGTATCTGTGGGTCGTTGAAGAAATTGAACTCAAGGGAACCACGGTCTTCACGATGTTGACTCCTTGATTCTTGTCCATGACACTCGTAGCATGGGCTGCTGTGCCCGAAGTGCCGGTGTGAAACCGAGTCCTGACTCCGCCACGCATTCGCTGGTGTGATCGAATCAGAATCACAACATCGCAGGGCGTCACTGCCAAGTACATGTTTCACCGTCAGCTTCGAGGAGGCTTCCTTGTGGAGGGAACCCATACGCATCTGATGCCAAAACTCTACCTTTTGAGGACGTCAGTATCACGACACTGTTGAAGAACTGACTGTGAAACCAACACGACAATCCGAGGCAAAATGGTACCCATGTCGGGAAAAAGTTGAACTCCATGGAAACGGACCTGACTAATTTCTCGTCTTCCGTCGATGAAATTCTTAGCAGATTCGGCGGTATCCGGAGAAATACCCTACACCAACTTCTCATCACAGGCGAGGAAAAAAACACCTGTCAACCCTCACCTTCCGTTCCCACGCAATCACCCTTCTCCTAAGCTTGTGCGCCGTCCGAAGCAGTTTCGGACCCGCACGCTCTTGCTGACGTTGGTGCACGAAACAAGGAGTACCCTCGCTTGCTCCCCCCACCCCTTCCGCCACCAAGTTTACGCGTACGTCTTGGTAGTCGGGGCTATTCCAACATCTATGAACCTCTTGAGTGCTATGCGCTGGCCAACGTGCTGACGAATATGCGGGCTAACGTGGCCAGGTTTCCCATTCGTTTGTATTCAGCGATGGAGACATGCTCCTCTGTGGATTATGTAGCCGATCCACCCCGCTCGTTCGGTTGTCTTTAGAACGGCAACATGTCAGTCTACGTGCATTGCGGCAACCGCACGTTCGTTTGGGCCGAATGACGACTTGCGCGACAGCTGGTGGCCGTGGGAACACAGCAAAATTGCAGTGGGCGTGTTCTCGGAACGTTTCGCGCGAGGTCGTAAATGAGGCTTACTTACGACACGGCCGAGGTAGTGCTGTGGCTTCATTTGGGGCGATATCTCGGCAACTACGCGTCACTATGGGACGAACGAGGGCTTTCGCGACAGCTGAGAGCCGTAGGAGCACAGAGGATGTGGTTTCGTATCTTGTGTGGTGTAGAAAATATTCTGTACGAAATCGGTGTTGCAAACAGCATTACCGAGTTATTTTCGAATTTGTTCATCAGAGTTGCACTCGTCCGTCCGACACATGCAGAGCACACTCCCATCATACCAGGCGAAAGCGTCTTGTGACGCGAGGTGAGCCATGGTGAAATACACGCACGACAACTTACGCACCGCTCACCACAGCAGCACCATGGCGCTGTGCGAGACACAAAAAACATGCGACACCTGTTCGCGCGTGGTACCAGCAGCACCATCGTGCTTTCCGTGAGACAAGGTTCAATCTCTACGCATTCTAAGCGTCCCAACACACAACCAGTTTCGCGCATACCTCACCGCCCGTGAAACACGGCCAGCGGACAGCCTTGTCGCCATGCAGTACCTTCTCTTCCTCGTGCGTGCTCGCGCGCCACCAACCGCGGCAGCTCGCTACGTGTGTTTTTGGTGGATATCCACGTGGCACCAGTCGTCGTCTGAGCCTACCGCCTTTTCCACCCGCATCTCAGCGACATGCAAGAGTGTTCCCGCGCCATGCTTTGGTGTGCACAGTGTGCTTGCAAAAATGCAGTGCATTCGGCAGCAATGAAACTATCACGCCTCCCACACGCCTGTGGCCTGAACTTCCCACGCGGTAGCAAATTTCTGGGATTTCTGCGACCCACCCCCGATTTCGCCGCGTACCTCACCCGGCGCTCACCCTCACCACAACGGCTTAACACGAACCCCGATCACTATGTTGCTCGGAAGAAAGAGGAGCTTCTCGCTCAGCCACAGCGCCCGCTGCAGGCGCGGATGGCCTTTCTCCTGCGCCCCCAAGTGCAATAAATCACCTGGTACCGCTGTTACGTTCAGTTTCTCCGTCAACAGGAAAAGCGCAACATATCCCGTGCACATGAAGAAGCGCAGCTGGGGCACTAGTCTAGCTTGAAGTACGAGTGAGTGTAGACGGCCAGACAAGCAAACTTTCAGTCATAAGACAGAGGCTCGGGATTGAGGGATACGTAACAGAAGAAACGAACAACGGAACGCAATAGAATGCAACACGGAAGATGAGATCAGGAGACATGTGGTCGAGCATGAAAGGAGCTTCGTTCCGGACTGAAAATGATGGAAGTGGCATTATTAGGCGCTAACGGCGAGTCTCGCGAGCATCGGCCGCTACAGAAGTATCCTCTCTGACTTCTGGTTAGTCCTGCCACGAAAAACAGAGTGCTTCAAACCTGTCATGTTGCGATCCTTGTAGGTCCGGCCCCGTCGCGCCATTCGGGCATTTAACTCAATTCGGTTGTTGTACGTTGTACCTTTGAATCACTCGGTTCTGCGTGTCTCCACCACATGAGTACTCGGCAGAGTTGGAATGTCTGTACATCCTCAGGTCTTTGTCTCGTTATTTCCCAAAGCGCATACGCGTGCGCATGACAGTGCAAGGTACTCTACTGTAGCCGGAACTCCGATGATGTGTTGTCGTTGCGGTTTGCTACCAACTGGTTCAACGGCGTGGTGGTTGTTCGAGCGTTTTGTTCCTCGCTCTACCACGCCGGGCTTCCTCGGTGAGGGTAGGCACGACAGAATGCTGCATTCTTCGCTGCCGCCGCGTGATGTTCAAGCGACGCTAGCTTGAGAAGTTTTGCTACAGCAATCCTACTGCCGCTACACCGGAGCGTTCTCGTGTCTTCGGTGCTGGTCTGATGCTTAGCCTTTTGGTATGTGTGGCTGCGGTTGTCCAATGCAACAGCGTACGTGGAGCTGCTTAGGGTGATTCGACGCCTCTAAAAACTCCAACTCTGGGCTCGGCAGTGAAGCTGTCTCGAGACCAACGTATTGTGCAGTGCCCTCGGTCGTGTATGTAGTACCTTTCGACAACTTTTCAACGCATAAGGGTAAATCAGGCGAAGGCAAGAGAGCAAGGGAGCCACAGCTCGAGGAGCCCACATTAATGTCACTTCCGTACAGACTGCAATGTTCTTCATTTTCTCCGGGGAAAACGTCGAAAACGCGCGCTTGTTAATAACGCGGAACCTTACATGCAGTTGACTTCAAGCAGTCCCGCCCGCCATTCCCTCGCCCACTTTTTTGTGCTGCCGCCTTGACAGGAACGCATGGCAGAGGTCGGGGTGAACGCAATAACCGTTCTTCAGGTTGTAGCCGAGATCCGTGGTGTAGCTGAGGGTATCCAGGAAAATGATGAGCAAGCGCATCGACTCTCCGAGAGAGTGAAAGCTATCCAGCCTGGCGTGCTTGCCGTCAAAAACGGCAAAAGAGGCGTTTCTCCCGAGTCGCTACGTCAGCTCTTCGAAGCTTTGGAGGCAATCCGGAACTTCCTGCACGGATATGCACGATCGAACTTCCTCAACCGCGTTTGGAGGCGGAGATCGAACGCTTCTAGATTCAGGGCTTTCAGCCACGACCTTACGGAGGGAATGCAGGCACTTCAGATGGACGTCCTCGTGGACGTATGGGCAAAACAAGATGTATCAGACCGCCTGGAAGACATCGCAAACTTGAAGCATGCGATGAGAATAGGGGAACGCAACAGCAATAACCGCGCAGAGTTTTCAAGAGCCCTGACGGTGAGCATCGATGTTAGTCCAATCTGGCGGCATAGAAGCGAGTCGCCAGTCTTCGCACGATCATGATAATATCCACCGTTTCGCCGCCCGTGTTGTTCCTTTTTTTGCAGCGACCTGAGCTGCTTGGGCGCATGGGCTGTTCGCCATTTGCTTTTTAGGACGGGTTGTGTACAATAGCGTCTTCAAAGACGAGTACATGGTGCTTCGCCACACGAGATGCGCGTTCATCACGCCGTTGGTGTTGCATGCCATGGTATCACTGTGACGTTGCTGCAGGCTTCTACAAGGCATTTGCGGTCGTCTGATGTTTGTCCTCGCATCTTTCCGAAAAATCGCGCTGCCCTAATTTAGGAACTCGAAAAAGATGAGCGATCAGAGCTAAAGGAGCTGTCAGCGTGGGAGGAAATCGACTATGACAATGACCTTGACTTCGAGGGTAGCATCCGACTTGGGTCGGGGAGTTTTGGAGTAGTAACCACGGCAAAGTGGAACGGATCGGATGTGGCGGTGAAGTACCTCCGGGAAGATGATAATCGCGACCTAATTCGCGCCATCAGGAAAGAAATTCGCACTCACGCCAGTCTTCGCTTCGACCATGTGGTCCAGCTCTACGCGGCTTCTACCATCGCTCCCAACCTTTGCATGGTTATGGAGTACGCCAGCGAGGGCTCGCTGTGGCAGTACTTGCACTCAACCAGGAAGCCGCTCGCACACCCGCTGCAGACGGCATTTCTGTTTGATATTGCCAGGGGTTTGATGTTCTTGCACAACAAGGGCATTCTGCATCGTGACCTAAAATCGGCGAATGTGCTGGTGTTCGCCAACCGCCGCTTGAAGCTTTGTGACTTTGGATTGTCCAAAGTCATAGAAGAATCCTCAAGTAGGTCAAAGAGGGGGCCTGTAGGGACCACAGCATGGATGTCTCCAGAAGCGATCAACGGCAGCGCGGCAACTCAACTGACGGATGTGTACAGGTGAGGAATGGATGCGGGTCGTGTTGTTCGATGGTAGTTGACACTCCTGCCCATTTTCCACCTTCTGCCTGATGTCGTCGACGCTTCCCTGCCGAAATCGCCACTGATGGACCGGTCTTGCGCCCACCCATGCTGTACCCGGCCAGTTTTGGTGTCGTTTGCTATGAAGTGGCCACCCGAATGGAACCGTTCAAAGGAATGATGCCTGTGCAAGTGATGAGGGCGGTTGCAGATATGGGAAGTCGACCAGAAATCCCGGCAGGGCCGTCTGCCTCACCCGATGTTGTGCGTCTGATGGAGCAATGCTGGAAGCAAGACCCTGCGCAGCGCCCCGAGGGATTCATGCCGGTGGTTGAGGAGCTAGGTAGAGTTGTGGGGCGTGTGGGAGACCCTAGACATCACAGCTCGGCTGCGAACGATGTTTTCTCGTCTACATGTGTGAAGCACAGTGGTGGTGGTGCGCTGAGTGCTGCCTCAGGCACAGAACCGCTTACGGCCGGGGGCGACCTTGCGGTATCTCCTCTCCGCACGACGACCGAGCAGAAGCCAATGGCTGCAACTGCACCAGCGCCGGAACGATCCGTACAAGACGCTGGCACGGACCGCGCAGTCCTCATGGCGCTGTATGGTTTTACGAATGGGCTGCCGAGGAAAACGTCCTTTGGAACGACGGTTGAAGGATGGAATAGATCGAAGGGTTGGGGGACATCTCGCCCAAATGGAACATGGCACGGCATTGCGGTCGACAACAACGGCCGGGTCATCAAGCTGGAACTGGCAGGAAACAACCTTAGAGGTGAGGAGTTCTTGTTATCATTACTTGTGGTGTTTGCGCCCAGTCATGCACGATCTGTCGACACTCAAACTGCACTTCGAACTTGGACTGACCAGTATCTTCGCGAGCCGAGACCGGGTTCGTTCAAAGGCCGTTTTGTTCGTCATTTTTCGTTGTCTGATTGGTGGTAACTTTAATGGCTTGGCCGTATCATTCATTGCGCTCTCCGTCACCTAACGGATGCCCTTCAGTTGGTGCGTTCTATCTCGATCTCATATCCCAGATCCTGTCTAGTTCCTTCTTCCCTCTAAGCTTCTGGCCATCCGACGATGTCTTCTCGTAGACGTTCTTGACGATGCCAAACCTCCCCAATGTAAAACATTGAGAGGCCATGTACGGACTAGTTTCTGTCGCTCTCGCTTTCAACCCCTCTGAGAGAGAACAAGCCGATGTTGTAGCAGCCGCCGTACCGCAGCCTCTGTTCGAGTGATCTATTCCATCTATTTCGTCGAAACACAGCATTCCTCGTGCAGTCAGATAATTCTCCCTTCCGGTGACAGTTGCACGTCCACGTGTGACGCAATATCGCTTGCTGTAGAATCGCCTCCCCTCCAGGAAAGTGATCCTGGCGTGTGTACTGTTGGTCCGATCGATTCGCCCAACAATGCCTTGCGTGTCGTTCTTCGGTTTCCGCATGATTTGAAAACGGGAACGATCTTCGTCGGCGGGTGAAGTTGACCGTTGGCGGCATTGTCTGGCCACGTTGATGAGGTAGTTTCGTCGGTCTTTGCATTTGCTCATGATTGCCTCGTTGTACTGTAAAAGTTCTTGATTTTCTACTCCTTGTTTGACGTCTAGCCCTTCTCTTTGTTCTGGCCTCGGGGTGCTCAGGATTGATTCCGGCGGAGCTGGTTGGGCTGACGGCCTTGGAGGAGCTCGTCCTCAAACAGAACCAGCTGAGCGGTGAGTGAATCTCGGCTCGCCGACTGGTTGTGTTGGGCAACATGATGCTTGACGTTGGTGCTTGACGTTGTGCGCGTCGTTGAACTGGTTTTCGTAACCCTGCAAAAGCGTTCGGAATTGGGACGTGTACATCGTTCTGCTGGATGGTTGATGCGTTATTTATTATGTCGATGGTGCCGGGAATAGTGAAAGCGTGACGTTGCTCGCGCACGCTTGGCTGCTTTCCTCGGGTATTGCCCTGCACCGAACGAAAAATGCTCCTGGCATGTTTGCTGTTGGACCGATCGATTCGCCCTTCCGATGGCTTGGGTGCCGTTCCTCGCTTTCGCATGATGTGAATCATTGCACGGGCTTTATCGTCGGGTGCGGTCGACCGTGGGAAGCCTTGTCTGGCCATGTTGACACCGTTGCTTCGTTGGTCTTTGCATTTATTCATGATGGCTTGCGGTACGGCCATAGTTGTTGATTTGTCCACTCCAAGCTCGAGAACGGCAGAAAGTTTCTTCAAGCGCACGTTCGACTAATCCGAGATGCTGGGTTCTCTCTCGATCTCACATCCCAGTCCCCACACCTGAAATCTTGTCTGATATCTTCTTCGCTGTTAGCGTGTGGCTATCCAACGATGTTTCGTCGTAGATGATCTCGGCAACTGGAAAAACCTCTGGGGCTCAAGGCAACACTTGGAGAGGGCCATGTACGGGCTAGTGTAGATCTTTGTCGCTTCCAAATGCTGGCGAGCAAGATGAAGGCTGTATTTCTGCGGCCGCCGCACCGCAGCCTTGGGTCGAGTGATCTAACCCTTCTGTTTCGTGGAAGCATGGCAGTGCGTATGCAGTGAACAACTTGTCTTTTGAGGAGAAAGTTACAC